TTCAGTTAAATTTTCATACATTTCCGGTGTTAAATGTTTCAAATTCGATTTTCTGTTGTTTAATATATGTGTGTAATCAACTGCTTTCTCCCACAGAGTAAGACCCTCGTTACAATAATATTCAACTATATAGGAATCGCCAATTTCTTGTGTGATATTATTTAACAGCAAATCTCGTTCACTGTTAAGATATTTTGTTAGTTCGTTAAACAAGGGCTCATAACTTTTGTTTCTATCCGGATGAAAAAACTTTATCCATTGTATGTGAATCGATTCGATTCGCTCTTTTGTAAGAGAAGCTGCATCAGGGAAACATGTAGCCTGAAGAGTAGGAATATCAGAAAGAATATAATTCACAAAATTAACACGTCTATCTAATAGTCCATCATCCATACAATGAATTAGTTCAGTAAGGGACACTTCAAACTCTTCTAACAGACTTTTTACACTTCCACTTACCATGTCCAAGTCAGCTCTCCTCATTTCTTCTATGACTACATGTAATAACTTTTGTATGTCCGAACAATTAATATGGGTTATCTCGTATTGTTCAAACGATCGGATGTTATTTTCTAATAATCGAATGATAGCTGTCTGTAACTTTTCGATGCGTTCAATTAAGATTTCTGGATCATTCACTTTCAGTAATAATACAAGTTGGTTTAAACAAGATTTAATGTCTTCCCATGTAACCAGCACATTATAGGGGATTTCAGACCGTATCGTTTCTGGTGTTATATTTCGTTCCTTACTTTGTTCGGGTTTATATATTTTTGATAATTTTTCATGAACAATTGTATCCTCGTCATTACCAACCTGACGAGAATAAGCCGATCTTTTAACGTGAAAGGAATGACGATAACGTTTGTATAGTTCATCATTTCTCCCTTCAAATAGGTTATCAATTCGACTTTTAACACGATCGCACAAATCATAAACTTCAAATGAAGAAGCATTTTTTTGGATCAGCCTATCAATTGAATTTAACAGTTCATCAAATTCTCGAGTTTTGTCCATACTTGAGTTTTCAAGCTAAAATACACAGAGAATAACTTTTATTTATACACGTATATTTGGTTTCATCACATTTCTTTTTATTCATGTTTTCACGGTGTGTTCAAGTTGTCACTCTCTTTTTCTAGTTTCAGGCAGATTTACTATTATTGGGTACGTATATAATAGTACTAATTTTCTTTTTCTTGTCCTATTGTTTCATGACGATGGTCGAAGCACTCATCGAAAACTTGAAATAAATAGTTCAAGTGGATTTTTATTAATCTAAAACGTTCTTCGTAGCAGTATTATATACTCTTTATTCTGTCAAATGACTTTTCCCGTTTTGTCAAAAGAATAGGGCAACTATCATGTGGCATTCAGTTTACTTTTTAATAAAAAAGAAAGCTCTCTCAATGTCACTACAGTGAAAGAAGGTGAATTTTGTTTCATGTTTTCCGATGCCTGAATCAATGCATCTAAATCGTTGGTATTCATTGAGTTAACAGAGATTCCTTTGGGCCAGTGTCAACCTCTCTTTTCCTTTGACGCTTCTCAGTTGCGAGTCATAGACTACACCCCATTACGCCTTGGATATCCGGAAATCACGCTGCGAATACTAGTTTTGGGGTTCAGCTCTCCTCTTAAAGTATGCTTAGAGCGACGTACCCACCATACTCTCTAAAAAGAAAAGGCTCCATACTAAACCATTAATGTTCGGTGTATTGCTTCGAAACTTTTAATGGTTTTGTAGCGAAATTTTGAAATTCAGAGGGTTTGTTAGATGGTACGAAACCTGAAAACAAAATTTTTTTCTACAAGGTTTTGTACAGAGTATACGAAACCGGCGAAGTGGTTTAGTAGAAATTTCACAAAACCTTACGAGTTTCGTATCGCATTAAACACTTCTTCGATGAAAGAAGAATATGTTGAAAAACCAATAAACAACTAGTAGCAGATATTCCCTTGACTTTAGTATAGGATCTTACAAAACGATTGTCTGTGTGTTTGTGTGTGTGTGTGCGCCAGGGTTTCTAATGAGAATTTTGAGCAGCGCGTACATAAACGTGGTAATTCGTGGATTTTACCGTTCTGTCTTTTCCTATTGGTTGATACAAAGCGTATTTTCAATTTAGTTCGCGTACCGTACGCTTTGGAACAAAGGCGTACGCGTAATGTTAGAAACACTGGTGTGCGCAAAATACGGAAAAATTGCTGTCAGATATTCTATGGATAAGCGAATCACAAGAGACAACAGTAGAAAAAATTTTTTTTAAATAAGAGAGAAAATATTCAAAGAGCTCATCTGAAGCATTTACTGATGCAAAGAAGTGAACAGCTCAGCAACCGTTTTCTGTGAGCCGGGGGTAGATGTCGCCAGATAGCAGTCAACTGTGACAATACAAAAAAAGTGGTCTATGGGTAATAAAATTGATAGTGTATAGATAATCTATTATAACGAATCGATTAGAAATACTTTCAACCTCCTTGGGGTCTGCAGGGGATGTGCAGAAAACCTTTTAACTTGATATTACATCAGATGGTTTTTTGGTGGAATCAGAGAAATTCATAGCGTTTCTCATCTATACTGGTTGCGAACGCCGACAGAAGGGAAGCGTGAGCATTGTTTTTGAGATTTTTGCTCTATTTATATTAGTTTACGAACGTTACACATGAAAACAGAAAAAAATCCAGAAGATGTCTTAGGTAGGTTTCCAGCGAGCGTCGATCGAAGGGAGGCGTGAGCATTGTTTTGAATTCAGAATCATGTTTAGACCTCTAGAGATTCTTGATTTATATATTAATATCAGACTACGAACCTTATACATAAAAAATGAACAAAAATCCAGAAGATGCCTTAGTTAGGCCCCCAGCGAGCGCCGAACGAAGGGAGGCGTGAGTATTGTGTTCGATTTAAAAGTCGCCAAAGGACGTTCGCTTGCGCAGATCCAACTTAATACAGTCAAGAGACCGAGCGAGTGGAGACGAGCGTTACCTTGTTTATTAGTCTTAAGATAGTTATCCGAAAGACGTTGTCTATTTGAAACACGCGATTTATGTGAATACCATTAGATGGAGCCATTTTTTCTCCGCTGTGATTGGCCTAATACAGAAACCAATAAATGACAGAATCTGAAAGATGACTATTTTATTTCTTTCCTTTTTGCATGAACTATAGCCTACTTCATCGGGGAAAGTTAAATCTACTGTTTTCCCATACCATTCCTTCCTCGGTTAGTTAAATCAACTTCAGAAACGACACCGTTCACACGATCTAAAAAAGTTCAATAATGGTTAAGGATTGAGGAACATCTTCTTTGGGAAAGCCATGTATCTTTTCTGCATAGAGCTGACGAGGGAATCGCCCCAGGTGCCAAACTCCGATTTCCTTCATTCATACCTCGTTTTATAGAGCACATCGAGCTGGTAAAAAGCATAAAAGAATTTTAGAGCATAGCTCTTGAAGTCTCTGTTTTCTGCAAAACCAGTTTTTGAGAAATTCTAAAAAATAATCAAAACCTTTCCTAATGAGGCATAATTATAGCCCGCACATTTCTGATTAAAATGAGACGTCTCCCAGCTCTACACGACCTTTCTTTACAAAGTTACAGAATTTACAAGAAAAGCCCTAAATGTTCATTGTCAGCTCAAAGCTGT